ATAAGGGGGGGGGGGGAGGTGTTTTATATTATTATAAATTTATTAAATTTCAAATTTTTAGTCCTTATATTCTTAAGTTACACACCATAATGTACAAACTATTGTATACATGTAGAAGCATTTTCTCAAGTCAATAATTTTTCAAAGTTCATATACATATTTCAGGAAAATTCAAGACAGATCTGCTACAGTAACTGTACATAAAGTAGCATACATGTATGACAGGAAAGGAGGAAAATGTATGGCTGGACCGAGATTCTAATCTGGGACCCCTGCATCACTAGTCAGGTGCTCTATTGACTTAAATACATGTACCAGTAAATGCTTGTGTATAGACATACAAAAAAACATTATAAATTGAATTAAAAACTGAATACATGTAACCAAAAATTAGAAAATGTAAAGATGTCTTCTAACTTGAATGAGATTGTTTCAACTATAACACCAAAGAATTGGTATGATAATCTGAAGAAGTCAGTATTGTTAAAAAACTTATGAGACATGGTTTTTTAACAATACATACATGTACATACTGACTTCTTCACATTATCATACCTAAATTTACAAATTAAATCAGAATTGTTAATAAATTCTACAATATCTTTTAAATAGATCAAGCTATCTACTTTAATTTTTATTGTCTTTTCTTCATGTTACAGATCTTATGGACATACATGATCCTTGGCTATATAATCAAGTGTCATATGCAGTGTTACAAAAGAATATTGGAATTATGTCAATAAGGTAATTAGGACAAGACTGGATTAAAAACCAAGGAATAAAAATGATGTAAAAAATGTATTTTAATTCTGTATATAATAGTTACTGTATGTGTACATAAATTTGCGTATTTAAAATTTAGCGCAATTACTGGGTGTGGAATTTTTGGCATTCGAGTTATACATGTCCCTGTTGTATATTGTATTTATAAATGATTTCTTAGCAGTATTCTTGAATTAGCGCATCGTTGTCTGCGCCAAAGCTGCTAAAATATGAATCCCGCTTTTTTAAGCATGTTGCTAGTTGCTGTATGTATTGTTTTACATTGAAGATGTTTCATTGACAGGTACATGTAGTGTTTTTTCCACAAAAACTTTATCCTTTGGCCTTAACTCTTAAACAATTATTGCTGGGTCTTTGTATTTCACATGTTTATTTCTTTTTTTAATCCCATGATCTTTGCCTTAGAGTCTGACCTACATTGAGAAACTAGAATATTTAATCTTTATCTATATATACCAATTTTTTTTTTAATTTAGACACTTCATTAATCCAAACAATTTCCATTGGAGCAAAAGTGTCCGGATTAATGAGGCCGACTATATATGCATTTGATTAAAAGATCCATTAAAGATTCATACATGTGTACATAAATGATTGATCTTCGTCAGCCAATAAGCCAAAAAACTACAGCTAGCAAAATAACAAGTTTATCTCACTTTTCCAAATGAATCTTAACGGTAATACATGTACATGTAGCATCAACATTCATCAAGCATTGTTATATTTCTTAGATTTTCTTAAATCAAACCATCCTTTTCTTGTTGTAGGTCATAATGTTGTATCAAATGACATTCCAATTTTCTTGAAATTACTTGAGGAGTTTGGACTTCAAGAAAAACTTACATATTATTGAATGTATTCACTTTATTTTGTTGAATTACATCCTGAGTTTAAAAGTTGTACACCATCATATACAGTTTATGGTGGGATTCCTCTGACTTTTATGAATCTCTGTGTAAAATCTATACTTTAAAGTTACAAATTATTACCTCTAATAGATTATATGTTCTTATGTAAATTATTACACTATTTTTGTATGTATGTAATGATAACCGAATCACTCTCTATTTCCCCGCACTTTTTACCATGTGATGCTTTAGTGTATTAATATCTGACTACTGATGACCAGGCAGTCTTCATTAAACAGTGAAACAAATAACCCATGCTTTTATTTGAATATCTTTAAAACAAGGATAACATATTGTGGACTGATTCTGTTTACAAAACTTCATAATCATTGGGTATTCTTATACATGTTATACATGTATTTGGAATGAAAAAGGAATTGTTAAAGGAAAGTGAAATTAATACTAATGTTGTCAAAGGAAGATTAAAAGAACAGTTTATTTATGCACAGAATTGGTCAAAAGATATTGCCGTTGATAATTCATCCAAAAATCATGTGTATAATAAATCTATCAAAGTCAATTTTAACGATATAAAGGAAAGTTTATATCTGTTTAAATGTAAGTGCAAAAAGGTCAACCAGGGCAACATGTGTCTAGGATGTATAAGTATTTGCTTTTGTGATATAAAATGTAATTTAGAAGAATATTACAAAGAATTTACTCATTTTCTGTGAAATATTTTGATGAATTCTTTGATAATCTCTCTTAGTCACCATATTCTTCAAAAGTGCATCCTTTGTAAAGGAAGGGGGTAGGGTAGGGTGTAAGATAATAAACTTGCGCCAGGTTGAAACTAAACCCCATTATGTAGTATAATTTTTTTCTGAAATTTAAGATACTTATTGACTAACTATAATATGCAATAAAAAAAAAGAAATTTGATGGGTAATTTTTTCACAGTGGAAGCAGAAGTATGAGTCTTTGAGTAATGAATAGACAATATTTTAACGTAATTTGACCATGCATCTTGGTGAATGTAATTCTGTTTTTCGCTTACAATGCTTGATAATTTTAAGATTGATGTCAAATATTAATTCATATAGACAGATGTTTGAATTCATATAAGACAAATGATAATTAATATATCAATAAAAATTTTATAGCCCTTTTCATTTCTTCTTCTTATATTATTTTACCCTGCTTTTTTAGCTCTTCGGTGGGTGATGAAGGCTATATCAAAATTATCAAATTTCTCTTAAACTAGCCCGATGACCTACCTTGAATTTTTAATATGATTTAGAACAAAGACTCAACACAAACATATATAAAATTCAGAAAATTTCAATGGTTAGTTTTTTTGTTGACAACCTATCAATCTCTACCTTAAGTTATTGAAAATAAAATGTTTAAAATGTCGATAGCTGTCAGTTGTATTATTTTTAACAATCAACTATACAGAGAGTTTGATAAAATAGAATTGATCAAGATAAAATGGAAAGTGCTTGATTTGGAAATTTTAAATGACGAGACAAGACAATGCTTTCCAATGAGAATCTTTTGTTAATTGTTTTGGTTAGACTGTTATTTAAATTCATATTTTGTAAATAATTTTATGCAACAATAATTTTGAAATTTACCAATTTAATTAATTACAGTGTTAGAATACGCAAAACTGTCATATTCTTCTTTGAAAGATAGTGAGATTGGAGGATCTAAGCTACTGGCAATTTTTAATGAATCTGACAACAAGCAATCGTTTAAATAGTTGATCAAACGTCATTGATGAACTATTAAACTATAACTCGATTTAAGTGATATAGAAGAAATAAGTTTTGATGACTTATTCAAAAACAAAATGTAAAAATTGCTTTCGTCGAAAATTTCTAGAACGTCATATATTTTTGGCTCTAAATTAGAAATAAATATTCTGCTTTGTTCCGTTTATAGCATCGAACCCGATATTTAAAAAAAAAAACGAGGCAATTAATCACTACATGCTACATGAATATTTATATATATTTTAAAAAAAGCTTTATTGTGAATGAGATTAATAGAAATTATGGATAGCAATTGATAAAACCATAAGTAGTGAATATATTTATGCATCGAAAGACTATTAGTAAGTGCTGATACATTTATCAGTAAAATGTGCATATTTTTCACTGAGAGCATCATGGAAACGAACCTGGCGTACAAATTCAATAACGGAAAACGATTATTGAAACAAGAATGAATTATTTATCGATCTGGGGAAATTCATAAAATACGGGGGGTTATTTGAATTTCTGATATTTTCAAAATAAAGTTCCTGGTATTGAAAAATCAATATATCTTGAAAATGAATTTGGAATATCATAACAACACATCACATCAATATCATAATATATCACATAAACACTATAGTAATACTGACAAATAAGGTTTTCAACTATCTTGTTTAAAGTCAGCTTTTCGAAAATTCTATGGTCTTTATAATGACCTTTTTTTTGCAAACGCAACCTATCGTTGGGTCGTATTTTGACTGACATGTTACTGACTGACATTTTTTTAATACCAATTTTTACCACAGATTACTTCGTTTACCTGATCAATACAGAGGACTCATGGTGGGTGTGACCAGTAGTCAGGGGATGCTTAGTCCTCATAGGCACCTGATCATATCTCTGATGTTTTCAAGGGTTCATGTTTTTTCCTGTCACTATTTGTTTATTTCACTGAATTTATGAATTTGATCATTGGACGCTATCTTCACTTTTCCCAATGATACCCTGTTATTATTCATGCTATATATTGTCGCGTTGCATATGCATCGTTGCGGCAACAATATATGCCGATATTTTCGATCCATTGGCGTATGTTGCCGCTTGCAAGTGTCGTGAGCATCGGCATAATATTGTTGCCGAAGGTCAAACAAACAGAACCAATATCGACATTCTATGCTTAAATAAAACGGTTCGATTGATCAAAAGTTAAAGGGATTCGACACATGAGCAAATTAAGCTGAAAATATATGATGTAATACTTTCACTGATTTTCCCTAATATAAAATTAGAGCATAAGATGTGATTAACAAATCCCTACCAAAAGTTAGGTTAATATCTACTAATTATGATAGTTATAGAGAGGAATCTATCTACTAATTATAATAAGTATTGAGAGGAATCTTTTCCCCTCTCTCTCTATTTATATTATATAGTAAACCATTCATCACTGCAGGATCATATTGTGATATGTAAAGGGATAACCGTAAATATGATTTTCTTATTAATTCAATATACATAATGTTCAATTTTACCGGTTTCATCTAAATTATCGATGTGTATTTCTACGTGTGGTGACACAACATTGCAGTCTATTTTTTTTTTTTTACAGATAAGGATCATAACTAGATATGGCGGACAGAAAGTCAGAACGTCAGGTGGGAATCATAGGAAGGTATGTCAGAATACTGGGTTAATTAACAATAAAATACTTCATTCTATATTCATGGCGTGGGCATGTTATGTGGGGTTATTATTCATAAATATAGCAATAATTCTGCAATTGATTGCAAGTAATGAAAAAAACTCCAAAGAGATGTTATCATTTGAGCAGAATTTGAACTTCTTAAGGGTGCTTAATAGATTGTATCTTATAATTTGCAAGCGGTAAATTAAAGAATGTGTGCTATATGATCGAAGATGGAAAAGAGACAAAATCTGATTGAAATTATACAAATGTTTGATAAATATGACCATATTGAGCCCCAAGAAACCATACTTTTTGAAAATTCTCATACTCAGGTTAAATTGTGTATAAACATAACATCATAGTAACATGTCTTTATACTTTTAATTTGCTATGGCTTTATTCTAAGATTTGATCATTAGATAAGATTAAAATTCCTTTATGTCCAAGATCTTATGTGAGAATTTAACTGGATGATAAAAGTAGGTTTTGAAATAACCGTATGACGCAATTTTATGAATTGTATAATCCTAGCTGAACATTTAAAATAAAACTAGTTCAATGTTTAAAATGATAAAATTTCAGTGGGTTAATTGGGCATAGCTTTGCTATGCTTTATGCTGCAGCTGGATATCGAGTGCGCATGTACGATATAAAACCAGAACAGCTCCGGCATGCGTTATCCATCATTGACGACCAACTTGAGCATCTATCTCAAAATGAATTGTTACGAGGAAAACTCACAATCAAAGAGCAAAGGGCACTGATCACCGGAACTAACGACTTTGCCGAGTGTGTCAAGGACGCCTTCTTTATACAAGTATACATATGTATTTAACAGTTGTGTGTCCGTAGTAATGTCGGAATCTGTGGAATCTAGATAGGGTCACGTAGTTCACTATTGCACCGTTTGGTTCGATGGCACGATAATACAATGATGATGATGCGATGGCACGATGGAGCAATAGCGCGACGACGCAATGATATGATTGTGATAGCGGGATGATTCAGTGACGAAGACGCGGTGACTTATGTTGAAGCCATGTCCGCTATCACTCTGTCGTACTATCGCGCCATCGCATCCTCATCATGGCGCTATAGATCGTCGCGTCATCGTCATCGCAGCATTGCGTTATCGTCATCACATCTTCTTATTAACGCACCGTCGATACAATAGTCAATGTGCCATAGTGAACTACGTGGCCAAATCCAAATTCCACAGGATTCAGAAATCTGTCTGCAGGACTACTACAAGTATTTTGTAGTGTTATAGGTATTTTCAGCCTTATCAATTAAAGGTCAGAATGACAACAAACAATGAAAGAGATGTTATTGTTTTATATATATTTCTGTATGAATTATTCCTGGATGGGTGAAACCACATAAAATATTGTGTTATTGGTCCGTAGGCTACCGGTACATTGATGGAAAAGCCCACTTCCAAGAAAGTTCTATCCACATTAATTGTTAATGAATTAATAAGGGAAAACGAAAATATTCAGTAGATGTAAATATAAAAGTGTAAAATTTTTCGAATATCGTAGTATAATAAATTCCGTGATTTTCTATAAATTATAGTGAAATACCCTTAACCTTAGTAACCATAAAATGTTTTGGCAGGAATGTGTGAACGAGAGCCTGGAGTTGAAGCGGGAGGTCCATGCTAAGATCGATCCCATCTGTAGAAAGGACGCCATTATTTCAAGCTCCACTAGTGCACTGGTTCCGTCTCTTATTTCTGAGAATCTCACCAACAAGAATAGATTCATCGTTTGTCATCCGGTAATTTGAGAGAGGATAGAGAATCCAAAGTTTTCTCATATTTAGAATTATTTGCTAGTACTCCTCTCAAATGAATATCAATTAGTCCTTAATATAACTGTTCCATTACCGTAGTTGAGCAAATCAGTTAGAAGCAGAATGATAAAAAAATGTATTAAAAACGTTCAAATTTACACAGTTAAGAACATAAATAGCATTTGGACAGCAAAACGTTGGAATGTTTAATATCATTAATTGCCAGGCAAAAACGTTAAAAGTCTAAGTCACTGGAATAGGATATATGGTGCGATGGGACAAGAAAATTTGTAAATTATGTATAGGGAATACTGGAAAATATTTCTTCCTTAATGATTTAGGTTAATTATGTTCTTCAGACAAATCCTCCATTCTATGCCCCTTTGGTGGAGGTGATTCCAGCCCCTTGGACAGATCCAGAGGTCGTAATTACGACCAAGGAACTGATGGCAGAAATTGGACAGGTTCCCGTCATTGTGAAGAAGGAGATTGACGGATTTGTCTTCAATAGGATTCAGTATTCAATCATTGGAGAATGCTGGAGACTCTATGAGGTATACACATATACTTGAATTCACTTACAAAAACAAAAGAACTTTGATCGATTTTGATTGAATTTCCCCCTCAAAAAATAACATTGAGAAAAAATTCCAGTGCAAATAGATTAATATAACTAATGTAGAAAAGCCCAACAAAATGTTTTACCCGGTATAACAGCTCTTTATTTGAATTTAGGAGGGGGTAATGAGCGCAGAGGACATTGATAAGGTGATGTCGGAGGGACTAGGACGGAGGTACGCATTCATGGGTCCCCTGGAAATAACCTACCTTAACGCCGACGGTAAACACGTACACCTTCTTCGTAAACTTTACACACAATAGAATAAGATTCTTAGCAGTAGTCACTTTAATGTTACCCCCCCCCCCCGTCCCCCCCCCCTCCATGACATACAACAGCAGTGGAATACTAGTAGTCTCAAACACCTGTGAATTTGCATGTTTCATATCAAGAAATTATTTTAAGTGATTACAAATATCAAAATAATAGAATGTAGTGAATTTTCCAAAAGGATATTGTTTTTTCTTCAACATAAAAGGCGAGGTAGTTTCCTAGTATTCGCCACGGATGCACTTTTATGGACTGCTGTGTGATGCATCTTGTATATGGAAACAAAAAAATGGAATCTGGGGAGGTCCACGTACTTCACAGTCACACTATGACATCATCGAGGTTTGGGTTGATGGTGCCATGACGCGATAATGTCTTGACGATGATGTGATGGCACATTGATGATGAAGCTATGCCAATGGTGAGATGGCACGATGGAGTGATAGCACTTAGCCGGTTCCCTGGTTCGCCAACACCAAGACAGGAGTGCCGCGGAGTACACAAAAGCAGAAAATGTACAGAGAATCAGGCTACGATAGCGCTATGACGCTCCATCCTTCTATCGCATCATTGTCACCTGATCAATACAGAATACATAGGGTTTATGGCGGGTGTCGAGTCGACGGGGGATGCTTGCTCCTCCGAGATACCTGATCCCACACTGGAATTTTCGGGGGTTTGTGTTTTTTGTCCTGTGCATATAACACTATTGCATCATTGTACATCATCATTGCACTATTCCTCCATCGCGTCTTCATTGTCATCGTACCAAGCATCGCATCATCGACCCAGTAGTCGATGCTCGATGGTGCAATAGTGAACTAAGTGGCTTCTTTCAAAATTCCAAATAAAATAGCAAGTTCCAAATAAAATAGCTTGCGCTCTATATTTTTCAACAGTAATAAAATATCAACATTGAAAATTAGAAACACATACTGAAGAATTTTGGCAAAAATGTTCTTATTTCCCCATCTATACCTTTTTGCCTCCCAATGTGCTATATATTGAAATCAATACTGATTTTGATAAAGGAGTTTAAGGTACTTATTTCCTAATTCACAAATCTGTAAAATGTTCCTTGATGTTAAAAGAAAGTCATTCGAGGGCCGAATACTATACTTTGACCTTTGGAGGTGATGCATATTGCACTAGAAGAGAAACTGTCATTGTTACACGTCAAATAAGATAATCCATAATAAGCATAAAATTTGCTCCATTTCAATTGCTAAGAAGGCACGAACTCATTCTGTTTGAAACTCTTAATATAATGCTTTATTTTTTTCTACAGGAGTTAAAGGTTGCTACATTACAGAAAAAAAATACATAACCCAATTTAAGGGGTTATTACTTTTTTTCTGCAACGATTGCAACCGTTATACCCCATTTAACAAAACAAAGGTATTTCATTGTTAATATTATTTTACATCTGTATTTAAATTCTATGTATTTATATAAAGTGAGTGAAAGTAGGTAAAATATTCTGTAATTGATCCCTTAAGTTACACTGATAGAAGAACCAAGAAAAAAGTGACCTTTAACAATTCCTTCGATGAAATAGTCAGTGGATTTGAAATTCTCTTGTGAAGGCATGATTGCACATTTATACAGGTACGAGGGGTTATCAAAAAGTTCGTGGATTGACGCGATAAAATTAATAATATGTAGTCTTTGCTTACAAAATTTATGGGGAACATAAAACAACAAAAGTTTAAGAAATGTTGAAAACTTTAGCTTTATGCGTTGATAATTTGCCAAATTATTCTAAATTTAAAAAGACTTTATGTGATCACCCGGCGCTGTCGCCGTTTAGTGTTATGACGTCCACTTAAGGTCATTGTTTCTTAATGTCCACTCTCTCTACCTCATACACTTATCTTGATGAGATTACCAGGAGTTAATTAAGGACTTAAACCCGTCTTGTTTATATGAATTTACAATGTCATGAGCAGCTGTTTTCAATGCATATAATATTGTAAATGGATCTTTATATGGGGAAAGATCCTCACTTGATTATGCCAGAATACTTAGCTTGTTGGAGTTCAATTTCTCCACACATGATCAACGTCACTTTTCGACATGACTGACTTTTGACATACTGACTACAACTCGACACTAACTGTGCATATTCCATCTCTCTGAATCTTTTTGGGCATTAAAAAAGAAGTACTCTGGATTCATTTTTTTTCTGTAGCCAGTTTAAACATTCCTTAGGTCTATACCAGTTTTTCCAGGAGCGAAACTCTATAGAGTGTTTGAAAAAGAAACCCCTATCCCCTTTAGACGTTATTTTCAAGCCCATAATTGTTTGGACTCTCTATATAAATTTACGATAAAATTTCATAGAAATTACAGAATTGGGTAAAAATTGCAAATTTTACTGAACAAATGTGTCGTACCACATGCCTGAATTAACGAGATAATTTTATGACAAATTCTCATATCTAAAGAGTTTTTCCCAGTTACACTAAGTAGAAGAAAACGTCATATTAGAGGTTGCGCCGCCTGGACATACCTTTGCTTACAAAAACACTAACAATTTATTTAAAAAATAAAAATTATGACTTATGGTTTATTCTATAGATAGAAAAGATGATGCTAACTAACTGTGTAAAAATTCATTGATGTACCTAAAGCGGTTTTAATTTTATGACGCTAGTCCACGAACTTTTTGATAACCCCTCGTACTTAGTATGAGAGAAAGTTAATTTCCTCCTCTTCTTTTCATCACAGGACTGCTCATTTTTGGGGATCTATACCGTGAGACGCTATACAGAGTTCAGTGCTCGTTTGGGCCCCCAAAGAAAATGGAGGGTCCCACGCTCGAAAAAATGCACAACGAAATCGCAGCTAGAATCCCGTTGGATAAGCTCTACGAGAGAAGAAAATGGCGTGACATTCGTCTTGCATCACTTCAGAAGTTAATAAATGAACTAGATGAATCTCATCCAAAATAAACTTGGTTTTAAGAGAGAAGTACTAGTGTTCAATTGAAATATATTTCCGTTGATGTTCTGATTTTGTAAGTCTAGATACTGTTTAGGAATATGTTCAGCAAAACAATATGTATCCAATAAATAAAACTATGTTTTACTAATTTACTGCAGGTACAAAATGTGATGATGAATTTTTTGAATCAGATTTTGCAGAATTTTAAAAAGGTTTAGGAATGCTCTTAGCTTATGTTTCGTGTTCTTAACAAGCAGTTAAGACTCACGATAATAAGCAGTTGTTAAGATGTACGATAATTTGTATACTTTTTTTCGGTTTTCTTTACAACCAGTTGTTAAGTATTTGAAAATAAAATGTTTAAAATGTCGATAGCTGTCAGTTGTCTTATCTTTAACAATCAACTATACAGAGAGTTTGATAAAATAGAATTTATCAAGATAAAATGGAAAGTGCTTGATTTGGAAATTTTAACTGACGAGACAAGACAATGCTTTCCAATGAGAATCTTTTGTTAATTGTTTTGGTTAGACTGTTATTTAAATTCATATTTTGTAAATAATTTTATGCAGCAATAATTTTGAAATTTGCAATTGAATTAATTACAGTGTTAGAATACGCAAAACTGTCATATTCTTCTTTGAAAGATAGTGAGATTGGAGGATCTAAGCTACTGGCAATTTTTAATGAATCTGACAACAAGCAATCGTTTAAATAGTTGATCAAACGTCATTGATGAACTATTAAACCATAACTCGATTTAAGTGATATAGAAGAAATAAGTTTTGATGACTTATTCAAAAACAAAATGTAAAAATTGCTTTCGTCGAAAATTTCTAGAACGTCATATATTTTTGGCTCTAAATTAGAAATAAATATTCTGCTTTGTTCCGTTTATAGCATCGAACCCGATATTTAAAAAAAACGAGGCAATTAATCACTACATGCTACATGAATATATATATATTTTTTAAAAAAAGCTTTATTGTGAATGAGATTAATAGAAATTATGGATAGCAATTGATAAAACCATAAGTAGTGAATATATTTATGCATCGAAAGACTATTAGTAAGTGCTGATACATTTATCAGTAAAATGTGCATATTTTTCACTGAGAGCATCATGGAAACGAACCTGGCGTACAAATTCAATAACGGAAAACGATTATTGAAACAAGAATGAATTATTTATCGATCTGGGGAAATTCATAAAATACGGGGGGTTATTTGAATTTCTGATATTTTCAAAATAAAGTTCCTGGTATTGGAAAATCAATATATCTTGAAAATGAATTTGGAATATCATAACATCACATCACATCAATATCATAATATATCACATAAACACTATAGTAATACTGACAAATAAGGTTTTCAACTATCTTGTTTAAAGTCAGCTTTTCGAAAATTCTATGGTCTTTATAATGACCTTTTTTTGCAAACACAACCTATCGTTGGGTCGTATTTTGACTGACATGTTACTGACTGACATTTTTTAATACCAATTTTTACCACAGATTACTTCGTTTACCTGATCAATACAGAGGACTCACGGTGGGTGTGACCAGTAGTCAGGGGATGCTTAGTCCTCATAGGCACCTGATCATATCTCTGATGTTTTCAAGGGTCCATGTTTTTTCCTGTCACTATTTGTTTATTTCACTGAATTTATGAATTTGATCATTGGACGCTATCTTCACTTTTCCCAATGATACCCTGTTATTATTCATGCTATATATTGTCGCGTTGGATATGCATCGTTTCGGCAACAATATATGCCGATATTTTCGATCCATTGGCGTATGTTGCCGCTTGCAAGTGTCGTGAGCATCGGCATAATATTGTTGCCAAAGGTCAAACAAACAGAACCAATATCGACATTCTATGCTTAAATAAAACGGTTCGATTGTCAAAAGTTAAAGGGATTCGACACATGAGCAAATTAAGCTGAAAATATATGATGTAATACTTTCACTGATTTTCCCTATATAAAATTAGAGCATAAGATTGATTAACAAATCCCTACCAAAAGTTAGGTTAATATCTACTAATTATGATAGTTATAGAGAGGAATCTATCTACTTATTATGATACTTATTGAGAGGAATCTTTTCCTCTCTCTCTATTTATATTATATAGTAAACCATTCATCACTGCAGGATCATATTGTGATATGTAAAGGGATAACCGTAAATATGATTTTCTTATTAATTCAATATACATAATGTTCAATTTTACCGGTTTCATCTAAATTATCGATGTGTATTTCTACGTGTGGTGACACAACATTGCAGTCTATTTTTTTTTTACAGATAAGGATCATAACTAGATATGGCGGACAGAAAGTCAGAACGTCAGGTGGGAATCATAGGAAGGTATGTCAGAATACTGGGTTAATTAACAATAAAATACTTCATTTTATATTCATGGCGTGGGCATGTTATGTGGGGTTATTATTCATAAATATACTTGTGCTACAACCAGAAAAGGCATGAGAAGAATATATCATGCTTTGCTTAGTACTTTTCTTGCAAAGATTTGTAGAACAAAATGATAATTTCTGCAATTGATTGCAAGTAATGAAAAAAACTCCAAAAAAAGATGTTTTCATTCGAGCAGAATTTGAACTTCTTAAGGGTGCTTAATAGATTGTATCTTATAATTTGCAAGCGGTAAATTAAAGAATGTGTGCTATATGATCAAAAGATGGAAAAAGAGACAAAATCTGATTGAAATTATACAAATGTTTGATAAATATGACCATATTGAGCCCCAAGAAACCATACTTTTTGAAAATTCTCATACTCAGGTTAAATTTTGTATCAACATAACATCATCAGTCCAGTCCAATACGAAAAATCGTAATATTACGAAAAATTGTAATATTACGAAAAATCGTAATATTACAGAATATCGTAATATTATTCTTATATTATTATTTTTCGTAATATAGTTAAATTACGGAAACTCGTAATATAGCTAGTTGTGAGGGACTATATTACGAGTTTTCGTAATGCAAGACAAAATTAAGCATTGAAAGAAACTGAATGGTGTGATGCAAACTATGACGTCAGAAATATATTAGGTTCCAATGATACTAATTACACGTGGTCACTTTGGTCAGTGACGTCTATCGAAAAATATGGAAACGCAAGATGAAAGTACCGCAAGCGATGGGTGAGTGAACATTTTGTTTTTTTTATTCTTTAATGAGATTTTTCCAAGAGATGGGACCAATTTTCCATAAAACTTCAATGTGTCCTCAAGCTTGTCACATTGTTCCATATTCCCCGAAATCCCTACATTTCTTCCGAAATCTACCCTAAAAATCAGACCCTCGTCTCAAACAACGAGATGTTACGGGGGATAACTTGTACGACTCTCGTCAAGCTCTGACCCCGCATGCATTTAGATTAAATGCATTGAATTCGAAACAAAGAAAACACACTAACAAGAAAATATGAGATTCTTCACCGAGTAGAAATTGAAGATTTTCAAACATTTCCTGATTCTTAAAAAAATCAGAGTTAAAATTTCAGACACAATTCAAATATACGCCATTGTTCAGATACAAAAATACATTCGAATGAGCATGTCAAAGTAGATGAGAAACACATCACGGGCCCGGGGGGGGGGGGACTGAAAAATCCAAATAGTCTAAATACTCGTATAAAAAGAAATAAAAAAAATTAACCTTCGATTGTTTAATTAGTTTGGGTTTTGAGTTTTTATGTGTGCATGTTTTATTATTTTTATTAACAATATATTTTATTTATTATAAGTTTACTTCAATTATTTACTTTTTAAAAAAAATTATTTATTGCTTTTGTTTTTATATGTTTAACGCAAAAAAAAAAAAAAAAGAAAAAAAAAAAACAACAAAAGTTTCAAATACTATCTTTGTGCATGATAAATTGCTATAGCTTTTTTATGCATGTTATTCAGAGAACAATATCGCAATACTTTTTTCTGTGCTACATGTATACTTTTTAGATGATGGGATTTTTTATGTGAAAAATTCCAGCGCCGATCGCGCGGTGGTATTAAATTATATCTTGCCCGCAAGCAGTAATTAAGGTTTATTCCCATTCCCCTCTAGCCAAAACCAGTCACCAGTTACAATTTCAGAATTTTGGCTAAGTGGGAAGACACCGTAATTAAAGTTCGTATTTTGGAAGCTTTCAAATGAGACTCGAGTTCATCTAATAACACATTATTAACACGTTACACATTGCATACAATCACTAAAGATCACAAAAATTCCAAATGTACATTAATGACCCAGTAAAGTTATTAGTCCAAGTGAAAAAACCAAAGTAATACTTGATACATATTTGCCGCAGTTTTGATTCGCTCCTGACAGTAAGAAGCACACATGCAGAAGTCAACAGCAATACTACACATTATAGCAGGTCAACAGGAGGTATACTAGAATATACAAAATAAGTGTAGAGGTAATTATATAACGAGGATCATTAATATATCGCAGTGGCGGATCCAGGAATCTTGAAAAGGGGGGGGGGGGACCAGTTTGGGGTCGGGGTAGGGGCCCACGGCCACATCAAATAAAATTGATTTATTAAATCATGTGTGTTTTGGACACAAAAGGGGGGTGGGTCCCCAGCCCCCCCCTTTCCTAAATCCGCCAGTGTATCGAATAAGTATGGATGGCAATGTGACGTGTAAAAATACATCAGTTTCAGAAATTAACATATTTAGAACTCTTACAAAAAAACAGAACCCATATTGGCAGTGTGATTTGTATTTATCCTTATACATGTACTTTGCATTTTTTAATTCAAATATATTTTATTTTTGAACTTTAAGATTTTTTTTTATATTACTTGCTGCTAACTAATGTAGCTTTTGTAGAAAATATAAAAAACGTAGCCCCTTCATTCGGTCAATCAATAGCTATGCATCCACAAGGGAAAAAGTCTTGTCTTTATATGTTGTGCCTATTGCGTAATTATGTTCAACGTCTGAAAAAACGCTCTTTCTCATTGTTAGCGCACACATGTGCTGCCATTTAGGCCAGATTAATTGGTGCCAAACATCGTCACTAAGTTGTTAAACCTTCAGATTTTTCTAATGACTTGTGCTCCCTCGCCCCCATGCTGTGACTTTTACACTCTGTTTATTTGATGCGATGTCGATTTCCAGACTATCAACAAGGCTCAAATCGGCAAGTGATATGAGAAAACTTGTAATAAAAGCAGTGGCGGATCCAGGAAAATCATAACGGCGGGGGGGGGGGGGGCAGTAGAAGGCAGGGTGGTCTGGGGCCATTATTGAAGCCCCCAGTAGGTCTAGGGCAAAGCCCTGGTGGGCGTCCGATTTTGGATAATGGACATAAATTTCTACATAAAAAAATTCAAACGGGGGGGGGGGGGGGGCGTGCCAGCCCTTGATCCGCCTTTGAAAAATTCTTTTTAGGGGGTATATTGGCTAAAATTAGATCTGCCATCTTTTCGAATTCGGCTTTTTCATAATGTACCAGTATTTCACGTGTGAAGTAAAATTACACGAAGATTATAAATAAGTCTTAAACAGCCGTGAAGAAACGAATAACAGATTTTTAATATATAGTAAATCTACCAAGCACTAATAATAATTAAAGATCTTTTAATTTTTGGCAAGTTTTTGAATGCTGCCACATTGTTACGAAAAAACAATATCGATGTATAACACTATTTTCATGTATGTATTTTTACGTTCACTCTCTCTGTATGATTTTTTTTTCCTAAATACATGTAGCATGTAGTTATTACTCTGATAAGCCAACTGGAATAAAGAAACTTGAAACCTCATCGTTCAATACAACAGCAGCTCCTCCCAATGCAGTAAAAAAGTAAAACGACCAAACATGCTAAGCATATGGGGATTTCCTTTTATTTTCAAACAAATACAGTATCAGATGTGTAAAAGTAAAAAACATGTATATCAATTCTTATTTTATTTATATGAGCGAAATAATTGCATTATATAAGACTTCTGTGCAGGTCTGTGTCGTTTAAGATTCGGATGCAAAAGTGGGTGGGGGATATTTCTTTAAAAGTATTCGAGATTTCATAGAAATAGCAGGATTTGATATTTGAAGTAATTAAATTTATGATATTTTCTGAACCTCTTCGAAAGAGAAACTACTTGAATATTACCAAACATAAAAATATTCAGTGTCACTGTCAGTTTATATTTTCTGAAATTAATATCATAATTCTAGACTCACTCGAACCCTAGCTGAAATAGCCAGGGTTCGAGTCTAGAATTATGATATTAATTTTTTTTCAGTTATAGTCTATCAGAGTTATTGCTCGAAAAAACAATGATCAAGTAAGCTTTTCTTTCAAATTTAAAATAGAGCCACATACGATAGACTCTATCAGGCAATTAGGCTGTTTCAAGAAGCTCCATAGACATCTCGGGGATATAAATTTTACAATCCAGCTGGTAAAACTTCGACGATGAAGTACAACGAATCAAGAATGAGAAGCCTTTATAAGGTTCCAACTGTTTTTGCCCCCCCCCCCCCCGAAAAAGAAAGAAGAAAAAGAAAAGAAGCTGGGGAAATCTTTCTCTGAAATTCATGTGTAAATATAATACATAAAATCTTGAAATATGTTATAAAGCTAGAATTCCTTATAATTTTTAGACACTTCGATAAATGCACTAAGTTATACGAATTGTTCTTTGCCGAAGTGATGTCCCAGGAGGATTGTCGACGTTCAATCACAAGGCTATAGACGAATTGTAATATATATAATTAAAAAATATTTACACAAATTTGTCAGACCTGGATAAAGTGGTGACTTATTAATGAATCATTCTGTGTTAACATGGTTAACGCAGTTAAACAAAATAGCAATTTTACATCAACATGATCGCACAAGATTCATTTGAAATATGAGAAAAGGACAGGATATAGACCATGTCCATTTCACACTAGGGTGTATGATACAGGTCAAGACACATGGTCATAGAGTGAGAGAGAGTACCGATATGTACATGTATAAAGTTAATGATTTCCCTTCTACTATGGCCTATCAGTATCAGGAGGCGGGAAGTTATAGTCAGGGACGCAGTGTCGTTTTTGAAAGGGGGCAGAAAAAAATGACAAATTACCTGAAAAAAAAAACCTTGAGAAGCAATAAAAAAGGAACTAGAAAATCCTATTTCGTTAAAGGGTTGCGGTGGATGGGTTAGGTTACAACTTTCTTTCATAATCAATTTATTTTTAAATACATACATGTACCAATTTAATATGATTTAACTATGCTACAACAAAAACTGGGGGTGGGGGTGGGGGAGGTAACCAGCCTTTTCAATGAACTTTTTCAAAAGTGAAATTTTATGTTGGAGAAAAAGGGCGGGGGGGGGGGAGCCGTTCTTAATTGCCCTCGTGAAACTATACGTGTTTGACTCGGCGGGATACTTTTGATTTATACGAATTTGAATAGACAAACTGATGCCTTTCCCTTTTCTTTAAACATTCAGATGAGTTACGAATCGGTCAAGGTGGTCTATGTAAATTAAATGATGGTTTTTTTTTAAGGGGAAAATATTGGTTTTTATAAAAAATGTTTTTGTTCGTGGATTGGTGTTCTTGTTTTAATTGTTACAGCAATAGTGTAGTAATACACCCATTGCATCCATTGTATTCCTGTATATATACAAACTAGATCACTTATGAGAACTCGTTTATAAAATCAGAGCAGTGAGTAGTAATTAAGCTATCATTACTAAAAATTGTAAAATGATAAAAGGTTCTTGCGTTTATTTCTATATTTTTATGGCTTTTGATTTTCATAAATTTGAAGCTCCCTCCCACCACCTCAACCATAAAAGTTTATTTATATTAGGAAAGCACTCTACAAACGTTTTCCCCCTTGTTAGAAGTTGACATAGTTGGTGTAGGGATCACGTAAACTGTACCCCCCCCCCCAAAAAAAAAATCATTTCATTTTTACAAATGTCTTTGACATGTACACAGTCAGCAACATGGGCAATTTTAGCATACCATTCTCCTGTACACTAGGTGTACAACAGAAGACCATATCAATTAAATAAATCTTTTTTGTAATTTAACGATCTTTTTGCAGTGATTTTATGTGAAATATAGATTTTCGTAATATTACGTTTTTCTGTTATATTACAGATTTTCGTAACAGTACGGTTTTCTATATTGTTATGGATTTTCGTAATATTACAGTTTTCTGTAATAATGGAACGATTCTTAACAGTTTAGGTTTCCTATTTTTTTTCTTTGAGGATCGACAGTTTTCCTAAAATTGGTATAACATACGCACCTTTTAATTCTTAATGGATGAGTAATTTAGTACAAGACACTTGCATTGACAACAGGCTAAATTTTGAAGTGACTTTGGTCGATCGAGTTGGGTTTCTTGAAAAATGATATCAAGTAATAAGATTTTATTAAAATTAGTTATGAATCAATATTTTCTTAACATCTTATAAATCGACCATTTAAAACACTTTTTAACGATGTACTATAAATAGCTGCTTTCAAAACACGAAAATTAGGTCATTGGTTAAGACACATCTCTGTAGAATTTTGACATGCATGTATGTGTTGTTTGCATATATAACTAACCAGCTTTTCATATGAATAATTGCAAAAAAATCGTGCTTTTCATGTTTTCACGTAGTATAATTTATATATCCACGATATCATGATTAATGAAACAGTGTATCAGAAAAAGGGAAGTAACTCTTAGAAAAGTTAGAAATTGCTTATATTACGACTTTTCGTAATATTACGATTTTTCATATTGGACTGGACTGATCATAGTAACATGTCTTTTTACTTTTAATTTGCTATGGCTCTAAGATTTGATCATTAGATAAGATTAAAATTCCTTTATGTCCAAGTTCTTATGTGAGAATTTAACTGGATGATAAAAGTAGGTGTTGAAATAACCGTATGACGCAATTTTATGAATTGTATAATCCTAGCTGAACATTAAAAATAAAACTAGTTCAATGTCTAAAATGATAAAATTTCAGTGGGTTAATTGGGCATAGCTTTGCTATGCTTTATGCTGCAGCTGGATATCGAGTGCGCATGTACGATATAAAACCAGAACAGGTCCAGCATGCGTTATCCATCATTGACGACCAACTTGAGCATCTATCTCAAAATGAATTGTTACGAGGAAAACTCACAATCAAAGAGCAAAGGGCACTGATCACCGGAACTAACGACTTTGCCGAGTGTGTCAAGGACGCCTTCTTTATACAAGTATATATATGTATTTAACAGTTGTGTGTCCGTAGTAATATCGGAATCTGTAGAATCTAGATAGGGTCACGTAGTTCACTATTGCACCGTTTGGTTCGATGGCACGATAATACAATGATGATGATGATGATGCAATGGCACGATGGAGCAATAGCGCGACGACGCAATGATATGATTGTGATAGCGGGATGATTCAGTGACGAAGACGCGGTGACTTATGTTGAAGCCATGTCCGCTATCACTCTGTCGTACAGGAAGATATTTCTTCCTTAATGATTTAGGTTGATCATGTTCTTCAGACAAATCCTCCATTCTATACCCCTTTGATGGAGGTGATTCCAGCCCCTTGGACAGATCCAGAGGTCGTAGTGACAACCAAGGAACTGATGACAGAGATTGGACAGGTTCCCGTCATTGTGAAAAAGGAGATTGACGGATTTGTCCTCAATAGGATTCAGTATTCAATCATTGGAGAATGCTGGAGACTCTATGAGGTGTACACATATACTTGAATTCACTTACAAAAACAAAAGAACTTTGATCGATTTTGATTGAATTTCCCCCTCAAAAAATAACATTGAGAAAAAATTCTTAATGTTGGCTTCAACTATTATCCTATGCAAATAGATTAATATAACTAATGTAGAAAAGCCCAACAAAATGTTTTATCCGGTATAACAGCTCTTTATTTGAATTTAGGAGGGGGTAATGAGCGCAGAGGACATTGATAAGGTGATGTCAGAGGGACTAGGACGGAGGTACGCGGGTCCCCTAGAAATAACCTACCTTAACGCCGACGGTAAACACGTACACCTTCTTCGTAAACTTTACACACAATAGAATAAGATTCTTAGTTGTAGTCACTTTAATGTTAGTCCAACGTTTATTTACCGTACTATTCCTTCTCATTCGTACTCTATCCAATTCCATAGAACAAGGTAAGATAAGTGCTCTTTTTGCCCCCCCCCCCCTCCCCATGACATACAACAGCAGTGGAATACTAGTAGTCTCAAACACCTGTGAATTTGCATGTTTCATATCAAGAAATTTTAAGTGATTACAAATCTCAAAATGATAGAATGTAGTGAATTTTCCAAAAGGATATTGTTTTTTCTTCAACATAGAAGGCGAGCTAGTTTCCTAGTATTCGCCACGGATGCACTTTTATGGACTGCTGTGTGATGCATCTTGTATATAGAAAAAAAAAAAAAAATGTAATCTGGGGATGTCCACGTACTTCACAGTCACACTATGACATCATCGAGATTTGGGTCGATGGTGCCATGACGCGATAATGTCTTGACGATGATGTGATGGCGCATTGATGATGAAGCTATGCCAATGGTGAGATGGCACGATGGAGTGATAGCACTTAGCCGTTCCCTGACTCACCCACACCAAGACAGGAGTGCCGCGGAGTACACGAAGCAGAAAATGTACTGAGAATCAGGCTACGATAGCGCTATGACGCTCCATCCTTCTATCGCATCATTGTAACCTGATCAATACAAAATACATAGGGCTTATGGCGGGTGTCGAGTCGACGGGGGATGCTTGCTCCTCCGAGGTATCTGATCCCACCACTGGAATTTTCGGGGGTCTGTGTTTTTTGTCCTGTGCATATAACACTATTGCATCATTGTATCATCATCATTGCACTATCCCTCCATCGCGTCTTCATTGTCATCGTACCAAGCATCGCATCATCGACCCAGTAGTCGACGCTCGATGGTGCACTAGTGATTTAAGTGGCCTCTTTCATAATTCCAAATAAAATAGCTTGCGCTCTATATTTTTCAACAGTAATAAAATATCAACATTGAAAATTAGAAACACATACTGAAGAATTTTGGCAGAAATGTTCTAAATTCCCCATCTATACCTTTGGCCTCCCAATGTGCTATATATTGAAAACAATACTGATTTTGATAAAGGAGTTTAAGGTGCTTATTTCCTAATTCACACATTTGTAAATGTTCCTTGATGTTTAAAGAAAGTCATTCGAGGGCCGAATACTATACTTTGACCTTTGGAGGTGATGCATATTGCACAAGAAGAGAAACTGTCACGGCCTATATTGTTACACGTCAAATAAGATAATCCATAATTATCATAATATTTGCTCCAATTCAATTGCTAAGAAGGCACGAACTCATTCTGAAACTCTTAATATAATGCTATATTTTTTTCTACAGGAGTTAAAGGTTGCTACATTACAGAATAAAATACATAACCCAATTTAAGGGGTTATTAATTTTTTTCTGCAATGATTGCAACCGTTATACCCCATTTAACAAAACAAAGGTATTTCATTGTTAATATTATTTTATATCTGTCTTTAAATTCTAAGTATTTATATAAAGTGGGTGAAAGTACGTAAAATATTCTATAATTGATCCCTTAAGTTACACTGATAGAAGAACCAAGAAGAAATTGACACTTCCTTCGAATTTGGATTAAAACATGGCTTTGGGAAAAAACCCGGGTCTACCTAATTTGGAAATAAACTGTCTTTGTTACTTCAGAAAAGAGCAATATATTTTTCATAAAATATTCAGTGGATTTGAAATTCCCTTGTGAAAGCATGATTGTACATGTATACAAGTACTTAGAATGAGAGAGAGTTAATTTTCTCCTCTTCTTTTCATCACAGGACTGCTCATTTTTGGGGATCTATACCGTGAGACGCTATACAGAGTTCAGTGCTCGTTTGGGCACCCAAAGAAAATGGAGGTCCCCACGCTCGAAAAAATACACAACGAAATCGCAGCTAGAATCCCGCTAGATAAGCTCCACGAGAGAAGAAAATGGCGTGATATTCGTCTTGCATCACTTCAGAAGTTAAAAAATGAACTAGATGAATCGCATCCAAAATAAACTTGGTTTTAAGAGGGAAATACTAGTGTTCAGTTGAAATATATTTCCGTTGATGTTCTGATTTTGTAAGTCTAGATACTATTTAGGAATATGTTCAGCAAAACAATATGTATCCAATGAAAAAAACTATGTTTTACTAATTTACTGCAGGTACAAAATGTGATGATGAATTTTTTGAATCAGATTTGCAGAATTTTTAAAAATGTTTAGGAATGCTCTTAGCTTATGTTTCGTGTTCATAACAAGTAGTTGTTAAGACTCACGATAACAAGCAGTTGTTAAGACGTACGATAATTTTTCTACTTTTATTCGGTTTTCTTAACAAGTAGTTGTTAAGTATTTGAAAGAAAATGTTTAAAATGCCGATAGCTGTCATATTCTTCTTTGAAAGATAGTGAAATTGGAGGATCTAAGCTACTGGCAATTTTTAATGAATCTGACAACAAGCAATCGTTTAAATAGTTGATAAAACGTCATTAATGAATTATTAAGCCATAACTCGACCATAACTCGATTTAAGTAATATAGAAGAAATAAGTTTTGATGACTTATTCAAAAACAAAATGTAAAAATTGCTTTTGTCGATCCCTGTTCTTAGTCTTGAAGGAAACTTCTAGAACGTCATATATTTTTGTCTCTAAAGAACGAGTGCACTGAAGGGCCCCGGTAAAATGTGAAAAAATGAAGAATCAAATTAAGTATAATTTTTCATTTCAGATCATTTATTAATTAAACTATAAGATTCAACAAATTTTATCGCTGAAATTCATGAATATACAAAGACCAAAGTCATACAATGTGGTAGGGGTCAGCCGACATTCGTGATTTTCTATAGTAAATCGAGGACGGTCATTCATTTCAAAGCTTTTGTTTACTGTCAGCCTAACGTTGTACGAACTTGTGCGAATGACAAAAAACGCATTATACATTTATAAAACTTGTGTGAAAGTAGGAAATTTGTACAAGATTAGGCTTGTACTTAAAATATTAAAAATGTATGAAAAGTTCAATGTTTTCCTATATAGCAAGCGAGAGCTATTTACCTGTATGACCTATGTTGAACCCACCCGTGGAATAAATTATTTAAAATACCGGTAGTAAAAGATAGCCACGTTCTGTATCATTATATCGAAGTTTGCATGTATTTGGTTTTAGGAACACGGGAGGCTTAGGAGGGTTTAGTGTCGTTAAAATGTCATCATACAGGTATCAGATTGTTTTTATAAGTGTCCGATTTAAATGTATCCTGCCCTTGATTTAAACAAGCATTCTGAGAGTATTGCATTAACAATACTAGTCCCCTACCGGCAAGTGTAATCTGGTTCCCGTTAAGAATTGAAAATGCCATAATTCCGTCAAAAATCAATGAAGCGGGGCGAAATGCAAACTTGGTCTATAACTAATCAAAGTTAAGTCACATACCAAAAAATCAGCTCAATATCTGAAAGCGTTAAGAAGAAAATTGCGGAAAACCCCTAAAAATTGAAAAGGCCGTAATTCCGTCAAAATTCAATGAAGTAGAACGTGATCTGTAACTCATCAAGATACACTCACATACCAAAAATCAGCTTAATATCTGTAAGCGTTTAGGAAAAAAAGTGCGGAAAACCAAGTAGGACAGACTGACAGAGGGACAGACAGACAGACAGACAGACGGACAGACTCTGAGGAAACCTATAGTCCCCTCCGGTTTCACCGGTAGGGGACTAATAAACGAAACTCAAAATAGGTTCGGTACGACTTTTCCAGATTTGGGGTATCTTTAGGCATTTGTTTCAAATCCATGCTAAATTAGGTGATGTTTTAACGTGATTTTAATTAGAAATATCCACTTGTGTTCAACTATTACCAAAAGAGAACGATTTGGCAATATATTCTAAAGTAATACGGCACTGAAAAGGGCCCATTAAGCACTGCTTAAGTGCACTTGTCCTTAGAAATAAATATTCTGCTTTGTTCTGTTCTATAGCATCGAACCCGATATTTAAAAAAAAATATGCTACATGAATATATTTAAAAAAAAAAAAAGCTTTATTGTGAATGAGAATAGAAATTAGGGTATAGCAATTGATAACACCATAAGTAGTGAATATATTTCTGCATCGAAAGTCTATTAGTAAGTGCTAATAAAATCAGTATAATGTGCATATTTGTCACTGAGAGCATCATGGAAACGAACCTGGTGTACAGTTTGTATTGACAACAGGTATCAGTTATAGATTTGTCAATTAATGAATATAATATGAAAGAAAAGTAGTGCATTCTAAATTTTCACATTTTCAAGGCTTTTAAAAAAGTGTGCTTTAATCAATCCATTTCAATTTTTTAATACTATATTTACCTCTTGTATTTCATATTAGGCCTTTACATAAGGCATGTAAAACAATATCTATTTTTAGATAAACGCTTTTACCTTTATCAATAAGTGTGCATATTCGCCTCTCTTATCCTTTATGGAATGGAAACAGAGCACCCGAAGTACAATATGTATATACAACAGGTATCAAAAATTATGTTGCTAAAATGTAGAGAAAAATTGTCAGTCAATGCAAACACCGGTTCAAATCTCGTTTACACTGTCGCTTTTCTATCATTTTTTCCTTTCTTTTTTAAAGCAACAATCTATTGTTCTGTCAAGGAGTCATAGTTGACAAGATGCTCCGTTTCGCCAAAAACTCTCTTTCGCAAAACCTCTTCCCGAATGAAGAGTTTAATACATAGATTTCAATTTAATGAAACTTTGAAACTTTTGTTACCCATACTACATAAAAATATACACATTTTTTTATTGCATTAATAAACAATGTTAAATTAAGCAGAAGAAAGAAGAACGTTGTAAGTGCTATTATGTAAACTAATTAAAAACAATATGAAAAGAAAACAATCAGTAAATTGTAGGCCTTCAACTGTTTATAAGTTCATATCGATTGTTAGACATTTGCCTATATGCTAGATTTGGCTACGGAATATTCCGTCTACCTGATTAATACACAGGACTCACAGTGCTTGTGACTGGTCAACAGGGGATCTTACTCCAACCAGGTACCTGAGCCCACCTCTTTAATTTCCAGGGGTCCTTGTTTTATGCCCTGTTCACAAATTTGTATTGTTTGTAGGATGGTTCGTTATCTTCACCTTTTTTCATTCAGCTATGGCTGAAGCTACTCCTAAAATTGTTAAGACACGCTTAAGGTTTATATACATTGTATATATGAGTGAAGAATATGACTTGGTATCTGAAAGAAGTAAAAGGGAGAAGACATCATTATAAAGTACAGAGTACAGTATCTAAGATTTAACGACAGTTGTTTTCGCCATTCACCATGAACATTTTAAATAAGTTGGCATATGTTTGTGTTCTAAGGACAAATGATTTATTAAACATAAAACAAATTGTTAAGTCAATACATGATTGTTGTCACCAATAGATTGTAACTATCCCACTTTATATATCCTAAAAAGAATGTCTCCTGCCTGTGTAGGCGACACATTTATCTGATTTAAAAAGCTTTATTCCATAAAGATCCCGGAATAATTTTGCACGAAAATCATACTTTTGTTCAGTTCTATTCTCATTGTTTTCGTTGGACTGAGATTTGTTATCACTCACTTGCTGATCACTTTCTTCATTGGAATTTTCATTTGTAGATGATTGCAAATCGCTTGAAGGATCATAGTGTTCATGATGGTGTTTGCCTTGGCGAAAACTTTCTTCATCATAATTTTCTATAGGTGTATCAAAGCTTTCTTGTTGAATTACTTTTTCTTCATATGTATTTTTTTCTTGCAATTTCATCTCTTCAGGTGTTTGTGCTTTCATTGCGCTTTCTTCGGTTTTAGAGGCATTCTTGCTTGTAGATGCTGTGATTATTTCTTGTGTTCTGCTATTGCTTAATTGTTCTGGCATTTCGGATTCTGTGTTCTGGAAATTTTCATAAGGATTTGGGCGACATGAAGATAATCTTTTTCTAATTTGGAGTACTATGTACACAATAGCTACTGCTATTAATAATATTAGTGACAATACTGTTGGTATTAGCCAATCCTCTGAAATATATACCATAGTATAAATATATGTACTTAAGCTACATTTCAGTTTGTTACTGTTTAAACAACAAAAACAACAACAACATATGTGACTTCACATTTATGAGAAAACGCAGACGTTACAAAATATTATTATAAGATGGTTCAGAATCTTAATTTTATAAGGGAGATTATAAAACAAAAGTTGTATTTACCTAAGAGGATGGAGGAATTATCTTGCGGATTTCCGGAAGATACCGAATGTGTGCTGATTTCTGAAATAGGAATAAACTTATAAGTAACCATACTGAAACATAACAAATAGGTCAATTGTTTTTTACCTTCATGTTGTCAAAATTGGATTGAAGAAAATAAAATTTTGATTTTGAGATCTATGAAGTTACAATTTCGTACCTGTTTGAGCATTAATTGTGGAGGTTGAGGTTCCTTTCATACTAGCTGAAAAATAAATAAATTATAAGTGTCTGGGCTGACCCAATGCATTTCATTTTATTGACCTTGTCAGCAAATACAATCTATCATTAAGTCATATGCTGACCGACGTTTTTCATTCTAATTGGTAGGTCATTATTTACTAACTGAATTGTAGACGGATTTTTCCGTTATTTACCGATCATGAAAGGGAGCACACGGTGGGTGTGACCGGTCGGCAGGGGATGCTCACTCCTCCATGGCACCTGATCCCACTTTTGTATTTGGAGGTCCGTGTTTGCTCTGCTCCCGATTTGTATTGTTTTAATGGACTTTGAACTTGAACACTGATCGTTATCTCCATATTTCATTTGAATTAATTATAAACGACCTACTGCTGGAAAATTGTAGATCCACCACATCATCAGTTGTTTTTTCCTTGCCAGACTGTAATTTATAGGAAAATTGAAACAATACACCAGTATCCATCACAAAATTGAAATCAGCGTTAAAAAGACTGTTTGATACCAACATCACACTCT